TGAAGAGTCCAGGGAGCAGGCGAGGTGCCACCAGGGAGGGGATGACACTCAACCACAACGTGCAACTTCACACTGAGCCACCATCAGGGCCTTGCTGAAGCCTGGAGGTGGTGGTTGCTGCTTCCCATGAGGAAAAAGGTTGATTTTGCCTGTTGGATAAAGAATTGAGGGGTAAATACAAACAATGTTTTCATTAATTTCTAGCTAATCTTAACTTATTCATAATTAATGATTAAGTCTAGGGTCATCTTAGGTAATCTTCTTTAATCAGGTTATTTTTTGTGCCACTCTTTTTGTGTGAGAACACCCTCAACATACTTGTTCAGTCAACCGCAATTCATTAATTAATGTGGATGACAGCTCTGCGTACTGAATCACTGAAAAACAAATCCGAAAAGGACATACATGTCTCACACATGTTCCCTCTCGCTTGCTTTGGTATCAAGCTGGCTCCACAGCAGGATGGAAAGATGGGTTTTCTTCATGTTGACCACCCTGCTTGCTCCAGACTCTGGCCATCCCTGCAGGGCCACAGTTCAGCTCATATCTGGAAACAGGTGACGATGGTTGGATTCAGTCCTGGCATTTCACAACCCTTCCGTCTTTGCATTTTCTCCCCTCAGACAAAATTGTGCCAACCTGGTAATCTTGGTACAGGAGGCGACTTGTCCCTGGAAGAGCAGCCTGCAAGCGGTGGGGCTGCACGGGAGACGAGAGGCGGAAAGTGGTAGTGGCAGAGGGCTGGTGCGGCCCCAGGCTTCGCTGGCTTGGTGGTTTAGAAGAGAAAGAGCAATTTACAATTTCAGCACAGTCAGTAAGGGAGAAAATTAGACACAGTAAATACAGAAACCTGCAAACTTATTTTTATAGTCATTCTTGGGGACAGAGCTGGATTTATAAGCCCCTTGGCTGTGACACTGGTCCTGCCTATGGCCACGGTCTGTGCCCGGTAGCAGGCGAATGGGAGATTCCATTCCTCATTGTAAGAAATCCATTACCTTTTTTTTTTTTTTTTTTAATAAAGAAAAGGAAAGCAGTAAGAAGATTTGCTTCTTTTCTGTCAACTTATCCCCCCCGAAGTTTCCCGATGCCGCGCCTGCATTGAAGCTCACACTAAACATTTCCCTTTGGGTGCTGCCCTCTGCAAAGGCGTTGGGGACAGAGGCGGCTGGAGAGCTGAAGTTTGCCGAAAGCGAGCACCTTTGCCACCTGAGAGCCGCCGTCCCGCTCCGGCGCCAGGCAG